ACCACAGTGCTTCTAATCCGGAAAATTCAAACAATTTTCATGAAAGGTAATTTGAAAATAATTGGGAAATAAACAGCTGGATCTTTTTACTAAGGAGCTAGGAAAAAAGTTAATTCAATGGAAGACAAAAAAGGCGTTGAAAAATGGCTAATTTCATATTGCGATGTTTAGAAACAGATATTTACCAATGAGCATAGTTTACGGATTAATATAGCACGGCTAAGAGATGCACTGATTTTTGAAGGGATGCTTTGTTCAAATAGAACGATACTACTATTATAAAAACAGAAAATCAACCATAAATTACTTCTTAGGTCTCACCATTGATCGGAACTCCTAGCGGCACTAATTTTGGCTTTGAAAGATTCAAATGCCCAATTATTTTTTCACCAGCTCAATGACGACAGCTGCTGAAGGCCACATTTTACAATCCAAAACCCGGGTAATACAGAAATTTTAGGGTTTTGTCTGAATTTGACTAGTAATTTTGTTTGTCGAATCCCTCTCACACTTTCATTTTTGAACCCAGTATTTCATGCTTTTTCCAGGATCCCGTTCAGCTATTTCCATTGACAGTCCTGACATTAAAGCTTCAATGACAAGCCCCCTAAAACAAATACAGTAATTTTTAAAGTCGGAATATAGGCGATAAACTTCTCTAAGATATTTTACAACAAGTTCTTTTCCTAAAGAAAAAGGAATGAAAAAACAACAATCAACCCCTTGGATACCGAAAATGCAGCACGGAAAAGATCAGCGAAGAAAGGCTTTGAGGGTCAAAACAGGAAAAATTCCTCATCACTGTTCCAGGAAAGACGGTGCAACGCTGTCGTTTCCTGTTTCACCGAAATTCAAATGCTCCATTGCCGACTGCAGTGCCTTCGCATTGCCTAAAACCAGCACGGAAGTGTATTCATCAACGAATAATAGAATAAAGCAATAATTATCAAGATTGCCCAGACCATCGATGTGGAGGTTCAATGTTAGTTATGTTACTGGGATACATCTATAAGCTTGATGGAGTTCTGAATGCGTGACAAAAGAAGCCATGTTCAAATCAATTCACTAAAACTGGTAATTTAACATAAAAATTGATTTGGCATACCTGAAAAATACGCAGACAATGCGTTGTGAAGAAGCAACAACTGCTTACGCATCACCTTCAGCCGATTTTCCTTCAGAAGCCTAAGTTTTACCTGAAAATTTCACCTGATTTAGTTGGTAGGTGCAAGTTATTAAAAAAAAATATATTTGCAACACTGTCTCGAAATTCACTAAATTATTAATATGAAATTATCGCCTTCTGCTTAGCAACTATGTTCAAAAACAAAATAGGTAATAATGATATTAACTTTTTTAGTAGCAAACATTGAGTATTCTGTCGGACGAAGAACCTCGTACCGACTCTAGACTTCCTGGCAACTGACCCAAAAGAATGGACGAATTATAGAAGGACCGGATTTCCCACTGGCGGGGGCAGAAATCCCGAATTTTGGCTAAACGACCAGCACTACTTGTTACTACAATAGCCCCATTAGCAAACTGCAGAAAATGTGCTTGAAAAAGAAAACTAGCTTTAACATCGGCTTTGAGCTGCTCATATTTTTCTTTATACTGACGACATCTCGCTTCCGCCGCCGCGAGTATCTCCGGACTGGCACCGGACTGCTGCAGAGATGCGGCCTCATTACGGTGTACATCATATTCTAAACGGGCCTGAAAAATTTAATTAACAAGATATCAGCTTCTGGGCACGTCGGCTTCCTTGAAAGCGCCAATCCACTTGCTCATGCAGTCTAGAGTTAGTGAAAAAACAGCATTGTGAGCAAAAAAAAAGTAAGAAAAAACAGTTTTTTAAAAAACTCAGAATTATGCTGCCCCGAGAGGAAAAAAGAATCGCTAAATTTAAGATCGAACAGTTCTAGCAGGAAATAACTGGACTAAACCTGATCATGATTATGAATGGTAAGCATGGTATCCTCGATTGTCTTCTCGGAAAGTGTTGCCAACGATGAGAGGAAAAAAGACAGAGCCCGCTCCAGAAGTTCACCGTTATGCGCCACCGATCGCAGTGAATCACAGTTTGGCGCACATTCCACCTGAAAATACAGTCCCTTCTAAGCTTCTGAACCAAATCGACAATACTTTAAAAACAAATCATGCAATTCTGGCTAATATATTTGTCATTAGCCTCAATAATTGTTTTAAGCACTCGAAAATACCGTTGTTGAGGCATATTTACGTAGTAAAAAGAACTAAAGTTGTTTTATCGCCAGATTTCTGCGAATTAATTACTCTGGCTTTGTTCTGCCCCTCCGGCTCCCTGTTCCTCTCCCTTCCTTACTCTCCCCTACT